GCTACAACTGATACATGATATAACTCTTACAATCATTTATGAAAACTGAAACGAATTTTAGCATCACTTATTTGTAATTGATGTAATTATAAAATCAATTATATAAATGATATAGATATTCAACATAATTGTTATAACCGAAACAAATATGTAACATCATGTATACAAACTAATATAAGGTTTAGCTTTATTTTTTGTAAACGACACATATTAACATCTATTATAATAAATGTTGAAAATATTTGCATTGATAGTTTGTATTGATACAATATATTAGAGTCATTATTTTTAGAGTTACTCATAAAAATGATATAACTTCAGTTGTGTTAATAAAAAATGATGTAAACCAATAAATTAATGACACAATCCACTTTTTTTTGTTTTGTAATTTTTTTTTAATGTAAAACTTATTCAACAAAAATATTACTTACAACCATGGGTAAACCTTTTTTAGTTTTGAAAACAGTGGGAACAATGTAAGGATAAAAACTGAGATCCGTGACTGAGGAGCAGAGAGGATCTAGCTTCATCTAATAGTAATCAAATTTTTTCCGGATTTTCAAATTACCTTTAAGTTTAACAAATATATTTCAGAAAGTCCCAAATGAATTCTTGTTGCTTGTGGTTAAGCATGAATGTCAGTAACGTTTCTCAAACATTTAACCTCTATCAACTCATCATACCTATGTCCTTTTCGGTCTTAACCAACTGGCTAAACCGTCTGTACTGAATTTTTATTTATCAAAATAACGACAAATTTCATAGAGACTAAAATAACTTAAAATGTTTTGAATATAATTCCAACGAGAATCATCATGAAGTATTGAAGTTAGATTATATTGTTCATGTTCTTCACGTTTTGGTCTTTTTACATATATCTAATATCTTGATAAGCAAATTCAGTGGCGTGAAGTGGATAGCAAACGTAAATTTGTAAGCACTGATCCATTGTTGACAAAAGAAAAGAAAATATTAATTCATTAACCATCAACAGTAATGACAGCGACCAACATTAAGTCACATTATTGTCTTATTGACGAACAGGAAGGACAATACATGATCCTTATATAGTATTATTTTGTTACCAGAATTTGATTTATATCCCTTGCAGAGCGTGCCTATCAAATATAACTTTAATAGAAAAATTTCATATTTTATATGATAAACATTCTATTTAAATAAAAAGCATATTTTTAAATAGGGCTCCGGATGGCTAGGCACGGCACTGTTCCGTTGCAAGAACATTCGGGTTTATCGGTGGGATAGACCCAAGTGCGTTAGCAATAGTGATCATACCTGGGTTTTGGCTGTTCAAAGAAGCCAATGCAACTGCTGGAACATTTCCCACGTTGACAGCATAATGGATGAGTCCCATTGGGAGCACAATTAAATCACCCTTGTTGAGTGTTTTGTTGAAAAGACGATTTCCGTTATCGTCGGACGAGACAAAACCTACCGAAAGTGTTCCTTCCATAACAACCAAGACCTCGGTTGCTCGTGGATGGATGTGAGGTGGGAAATATCCGTTCACTGCAAAATCCGCACGGGCAAACGATAATCCGAGGGTGTTTAACCCTGGAAGGTTTTCAGCATAAACGAGTTTCACGGCTGATCCGGCCGGATCAGTTACGGGTATTGGCTTGTCAAGCCCTGTAAAAAAGAAGTCTTCTGGTGTGGCGAGCTTTGGGTCTTTGCAGAACTTTCCGTTCACAAACACTGAACATAATAACCAAGAGTTATAAGAAATGAAAAATCAATGAAAGATGAGAGTAAAAACGATTAGG